GCTAGCTAAGGAGGAGGCGGGACGCGTGAGGCGGAACCCAGCCATCGCGAAGGACACACCGGGCGTCGGGGATCGCGGGACGATCTCCGGCCACCGTAAGCGCGGGCCTGCGGACGGCGAGCATGGGTGGCTCCCCGTCCGACCAGAAACAGACCCGAGCGTACGGCGCGTCGCGTTCCGCGCGCGCCTCAAAGAGCCATCAGACCACCACAGATGGGGCCCAATAGGGCCGATGCCGATTCGGAGTCGCGGAGAACCTAACCGGTAACCGGGGCTCCGGCTCGACGTGCAGGAGAAGGAACGGGGTGGTTTTTAGTCAGTAAGAGTCTGACACTCCCTTCCGCCTCACCCAGGCGGGAGCAGTCATTCGATGATTTTCCCCCCTTAAAAAAAAAAAGTCCTCACAACGTACACATATGCCACAGCTCTCCATGTCCAGTAGTTTTGGCCGTCAGTTATTCACTAAGTAACCAAAAAGTTTTATACAACATGTAAGTACCATAAAATATATGAAATAATACGTTAGTGAGTTAATCACTCATTTACGGAGGGGTTTTATATTATTATTATGAACCGACCGACACTAACGTGTGGTCAGTTCGTTTAAAAAAATTCTCGAGTTTACACCTTCTTCCTAATTTTCTAAATGTCGGCTGGAGTATATAAGCAGGGCTGGTAACGAAACCATAGCGCGATTCAGGATGAGGCTACAACGCCATCTAGGTATCAACTTAGAAAAAAACGTACTGAAAATTTGCTACAGCATTATATATCTTTTAAACGTTGCTATAGGATTGATAATAGACTGAAACTAAAGAAAAGGTTGTTAAGTTTTTGTACGAAAGGTTTTTCATAAAAATAAATAAACAGCGTCCTTTAGTTTCAGTTTTATATCATAAGCTTCAAAACAAAGGTCGAAGAAAAGATTTTAAGCATGTTTTAGAATAAATGGTAAAAAGTAGACTGCCTAGTTTTCAAAGCTATGAAGCTTACTAATAAAAATTACAAGTCCTTAATATATTTCTGTAAGTTCATTTATATAACCTTGCTTAACTCGCTTACAGATGAATTCTAATTTTTTCTCAGAGATGTAGAAAAGACCTTGTTATGAACGTCTGTAGGTCCCAATTGATAATTTATTTGCCTAAATAAATTTCCTATCGAAGTATTATGTACTTCGAAATTTATCTGTCAGTAGTATTTAAAAAAATAAATATTATTCATAATAATGTCTAATTTTTCAGTTCTTATAGTTCTTACTATATATCTGACAAACAAGAAAATGTACACACCTTACCCACCTTACCTACATATTTATGTCCATGTAATATGTTAAGCTTCATATGCTGTCATTACTAAAGACTAGTATCTTACAAGTCGAATTGAATACTTTTATCGAAATCAGAAACATATTTTTTTCTAGTTGTATGATATGTCTAAATTTTGTATAACATACAGGCTGACTCGATCATATTTTTACGTGAAGTTGCAAACACATTTAAAAAAAATTAAAAATTAAATCTAAAACGAAGTGGATCATCAAATTAATGAATGAATTTGTGATTATTTTTGAATATTTTAGTGTGATGCAAAGACGCAATAATATTTTTTAGAATCTAGGTACTATTAATCTGACTGATTAATTTGACATATTTCCCATATTGTGTCAAAATATTGTCAGATAACTTACAAACAACGTAAACAGACTGTATAACAGACAGGTCTATGCATTTCGTATAATTATTAGAACTGACATGCAGCAATGCAGTCAGTCCGTTCCAAAAATATTCAAAATAGCATAATTATTTGAGCCGACCATTTGAGTCCAAACAGCACAGGGGTGTATATCAAAGGTTGTAACGAAACCATAGCGCGATTCAGCCTGAAGTCATAAATCGTATAACGCCATCTAGTTTGAAATAAGAAACTAAAGTTACACTGGATTTTCTTGCTACTTGCTGAAATAAATGTTTTTTAGATGTGTATTAGATAGACAGACTTCTGAAAGTAAGTTTTATTTATTAGTTATAGATCCTGAAAGAATAAAAGCTAAATATTTAAAAAACAAACCCTTCTAGGAGTACTTAGCGATAAATATAAATATTTTTCTAGTTAATATACACCAATTAACCCCAAAAATATCTAAGAGACCTAGAGTATTTTTTTAGTTCTATCTATGTATACTTATTTTTACACAATTGACATAAACTGTGAAATGTTTTTCGTGCGTTTATGAGTGTTATATTCTTTATTATATTGTTTCTTCTGCAGAACGTCTCACATGGACAATCACCATATCGCAAAACAGCCCTGCTCATTTACACCTGCTTGTTTTATTACTTTATCCAAGTCTTCGAAGATATTATTCATTATAGCTAGTCATTGTAATCTACTCTGTATAAAGACTAGTCATTATGAATGAGATCAAGTTAATAACTTTAGCTGAAACGTATGTATACACTTCCAAGTGATAATAAAGTAAAATTCTTTGTATGTGAAATTCTAAAAATATAAAAAATTAATATAAAAAATTAAAAACTTGACCGTTAAAATCTATAAAGTAACAAAAAGTTCGGTTCAGAGACAAAATAAGTACCTAATTTAATTAAAAAAACTGTATCAGCCGGGACTCATTATTATGTTTGACTCAAATATTTTTCTACAGTTGTATCAGTATCAATTTACTCCGTTTTTCTCTCCTTAAGAAGGGAATTTCCAAAAATGCTCTTTTAGTGTTACTCTACGCCACCCAAAAACATACATTCCAAATTTCAGCTCTCTACGACCAATAGTTTCGGCTGAGCGTTATCTGTCAGTCGGCTAGTTAGTCAGTCAGTAACGGGTAAAACGGGGTGTGAATACAATTCGAGGGGTGAATAGATACTATGAAGAATTTCCCAATGCCTATTCACCCCTCTTCCTGTCTCTATTCACCCCTTGAATTTTATTCGATCCGTTTTACAGTATCTATGTAAAAATATATGATGTTACAAATCTATTGGATCGGTAATACTCTAAGGGTAATAAGTATCAGTTTTATAATAAATTGGCTTTAAAAATTAGAGCGAAATCTTCTTACTAATCATATTATTCCCTCGATAAGGTTTTTAACGCAGCGTCCATCCACAAGGTGCACAGACGACGTGATTAAGGTCGCAGGGTGCCGCTGAATACAGGTCACTTCCAACCAGCCTATCTGGAAGTCATTGGGGAAGGCCTATGTTCAGCAGTGGACGTCCTGTGGCTGATATGTCCTGTGTCTTTTAGGGAGGGACTCCACTAGCTACACCTGTAAGTGTAGCTGTGTAGCTGAGGGTTGTTGTTAAAAATGTTTTATGAATGATTTTTTTACAAACATAAAATCTTAGTTATTTATCATTTACTTCAATGACATAATATTATTAAACTTGTTTCACATTGCTATTATCTCCGAGAATTACCTTTTCTAGCTAAGAACATAATTAAATAAAAAATAAAACTAAATGATGGAATCCCTCCATTGTGATTTAAGCAGATTATGCTCAATATTATTGTTCCAATAAATTTGTAGAAAATCTTCCCAGACGTGATGATGTGAAACCCTTCCTCGTGGGAACTTCTACGGTAGTAGAAATTGGTATATTTCAATGATCGTATGATGCCATCGCCAGGATCGCTAGTATAGCGAATAGTCTACATACATAACCCCATGCCTGTCTCCCATGGAGGTAGGCACAGACTGGAATGCCAATTGTTACGATTCTTACATACCTCTTTCGCTTCATACACACTCATCAGTCTTTTCATGCATGTTCTAATAAATTATTCGCTAATCAGTCAACAGCCACTGGAGACAAATATGTTATACCAGCGCTATCCGGTCAAGAAAGTCGCGGAGAACCTAACGGGTAACCGGGGCTCCGGCTCGACGTGCAGGACAAGGAACGGGGTGGTTTTTAGTCAGTAAGAGTCTGACACTCCCTTCCGCCTCACCCAGGCGGGAGCAGTAATCCGATGATTTTCCCCCCTTAAAAAAAAATTCAGTCAAGAAAGAAACAGTAACCGTCATTGAGATTTGCACAGCGTAGGTAAACATGTTACCCTAATAACAAAAAATTGAAATCAATCATTGCATCGTTGCAAGCATGACTGCCGAATTCTGGTTAGATTCCAGAGTCATAGGAACTGTTTTTTGGTTTTTAGGAAAGTGGGCGAAATGGGCCCCAAGTTAGCAACGGGAGGATACTGTGACCAGGTTAGGAGATCATGCCTCCTGCGGCCTGGCGGGCCACGACCGACAATGTAATGATTTCAATTTTCATGTGCGTAAATCGCAAGCATCGTATATTCACCGTAAGACGAGATCAATGTAAAATGTTAGTAAACAAACTACAGAGGTAAAATCAGTACTTTTTTATGCTTCTTTTGCTTCGCGAAATACAGTGAGAAAGACGCGGAATTCGGAATTGACAAGACGTATTTCTTAGTAACTACATCCTTTATTTATAAACATGTGTCTTTCTTGGTCTATATAGGTATATAGTGTACATCATTGTACATCCTTGTATATCCTTGTATATCATTGGTTAATCAATACTTATCTTATATTAAATTAACCAAAGCTTAGTCATTTTTAATATAAAGTAATTACTTTATGTTTTAATCATGGAATTACTTCTGGAATCATATACTTAAACAATAGAGAAATACCAGTACAATAGGCACTCTCATAAAATACTAAAAGACTACATTACAGAACCCAGGCATACCCATGTTACATGTTTACTTGCAAGCTGAAAACAAAAGGAAACTACGATTTTTAATCAAAATTCACAATGTAAGAATTAAACTTCGAACTCTTTGGAAACATAAACTGTTCATATGGAACTAAAAATGTTTGAAAACAAGAAGTCCGTACAGAACATAACATGACACTGTACTGTAGGTAAACAGTGTCACTACAAACGTATATTTTTCAAACAACGCGTATAATGAATGCCTCAATTAGTTGTTGAACAGCGATGGCCAGTACAATCCGCGTCTGCGCATCCGTCTTAATTATTATTGTGCTCCTCCTCACAACCAAAGTTGCGTGCTATGAAAAAAGTAAGCTTACATCTATACTTCCATTATTTAAAAGTGATTCTAAAAGTAATTAATACAATAATAACAGGATTTTTGTAAAGAAAATTCATCATATTAGATAAAATATCTTAAATAGCAATAACATTATTTATTTTTATTACGTGAACGAAAAGTAATAATCGCGATTTAACTAATAACATTTAAACTTTCAGCATTACGGAAAATTGTACGAAACCAATCGAAAATGGTACAGAGACCATTCAGTGAAAATACCGGTCCAGATTCAATATGGAAAAATGTCACTAACATTCATTCTGTACGTGTCAGTGAAGCTCTACTCTTTCCAACAGTAGCTCAAATGAAAACAGTATTCCATCATATACAAAGACCAAAAATGTCAACCATATTGACTTCACTAGAAACAAGTAAAGGAAAAGCTTCATATTCGAAACCAAAGATATCAAATCCAGCAACGACCAATGAACTCAGGTTGACCAGAAATACGTTTACAGACATAAACGTAACGAGGGAACCTCCTAGAGAACGAACGGAAGTTTATCATAACTTTACCAATGCAAACAACGTAAAATTGGCCATTAAAAACTACTATCAAATTCCTACACCGTCCAGGTTCTTCCCACCGATAGAAGACCATGGCATGCACACTAGCCCAGAACAAAGAGGAACAAGCAGTAAAGAAAACACAGTAATAATTCCAAAGTTCCAGGAAACGAATAATGATAAAGAAGATATACAGGTCAAAGGTATTTTGATCCCAAAATCTAAAATCACGACCCAAACTGAAAGTACAGTCAATGCAGTGCGTAGACAAACAATGCATAGTATTATAGATATAGATCCAGAGAATGAAAAAGCTGATTTTCTTATCGAAGGCTTACCCATGGATAGTACATTATTCACCTATAATCTAACATCCGACCCCTACACTTGTTCTGCATTAAAAATAACAAAAACGGACATCGATGCACAAGAAAAATTTTCACAACTGAATATAGAGGTGAGTTGAAATATAATTAATGTTGAACTGTGAGGAGTGTAACATTAAAAGTTTTAAATACTTTTCAGCCCTTTTGGACAAGCAGAAAGCATTTTTGGAATCATATTTTCGATAGCCGATATGAGTCTCTAATGAGGAATCCAAAATGGCCACCTTTGAAGGTAATCTCGCAAATTGTTTGCATTTATTGTGTGAGGATCTGAATTATACTTAATAGATTTAATATTTTCAAGGTTATTTTAGTACCTCGAACTCACGTAGACTCAATATGGAGACGATCATTTGCACAATATCACAACGATAGTGTTAACAAAATTCTTTCAAATATTGTGAAAAAACTGCAGTTCTACAGCACACTGACATTTAGTTGGAATGAGGTGTCGCATCTGAGCTATTGGTGGAAAACAACAACGCACAGAAATCGGGCGGTGAGCATGTATCTTTACAAAACTGTGCGTTCTTAATGTCTTATTTAAATTTTAAACTAAGTACCTAATAGTAATTTGTATGTTTCAGGCATTTCGCAAATTATTAAGGTCAGGCAGACTTGAAATAACAACGGGAGGTTGGGTCGAACCCGATGAAGCAACATCGCATTTATTTGGACTCGTTCATCAGCTTACGGAAGGTAAGAAAAATGGAATGAAGATGATCCAACATAATATGAACATTAATAGAAATTTATCGCTTAATTCATGACAAACGCGTCAAATGCAACAATTTCCCACAACTTTAGTTGGTTTTTGTTTTCAGGACACCAGTGGCTAAAGCAACATTTGAATTATACTCCAAAAGTAGCTTGGTTGACCAATAGTGTTACTCACAGTCCAACTATGACTTATCTACTAGCCGCATCAAATGTTAACGAACTGGTTTTCACAAATGTTCATTACGCTTGGGAACAATTTTTAGCTGAATATCAATACAGCGACTTTATATGGCTACAAAGTTGGGACGACGATAAAACTTATCCGTCCAATTTGAACGACGTATTGAACAGAATGGGGAATGATCGTTACCCGAAGTATGCTGTTCTGACACATTATCTGCAATTTAATTCAGCTGGCTTTAGAGCGTGCGGTCCAAATGGCCCTCTCTGTGCTACAGATTATAACTTTGCAACCAATCATAGAAATCTTGATGTCAGTGCTTTCAATGTAAAGGAAAAATCCGAGCTGCTTCTCGAACAATATTCTAAAACAGGAACAATATCACCCCATAACACCATTATTGCTCCTCTAGGTGGTCCGTACCATTACGAAATGCAAGCAGAATTCGACTTTCAGTTCAATAATTATCAAAAAATTTCCGACTTTGTAGCAGCAAATAAAGAAATTTATAAAGCTAGCATAGAATTCGGAACTACTAAAGATTATTTTGATTTTTTAAAATCTAAACATAAACAATTTCCTACTTTTAAAGGCGACTTTCTTAATTTCGCTGACATTAGTTCCGGTAGTCCTGCATATTGGACTGGCTTCTATACGTCAAGACCATTTACTAAGATACTATTGAGACGTTTGCACTCAACACTGCGGACTACAGAAATATTATTTTCTTTTGCTTTGAATCTTAACGTATTTCGCCGCTCCAACATTACTCAAATATATGAACTCTTAATAAAAACAAGAGAAACAGTCGCACGTCTTGTTGACCGCAATGTCCTAAGCGGAACAGTTTCAGCAAATGCCTTGAAGTATGTTCATAATCAAATATTAAATACAGCCAAGGACTGCTGGTACATCCAGGAAATTTCTGCTAGTTTCTTAAGTTTGAAGCCAGAGAAACACGTGGCCTATTTACAAAAATATGTTTATAGAAATGGTGAATTCACGTCCGTATTAAGGACAGTTTCGCCCGGAGATCAAGTTTACATTTTTAACTCCTTAAGTCATGAGCGAACCGAAATTGTAGAACTCACTACAAGATATCCAAACATAAGAATCGTGGATCATAATAAAAGAGACGTGACCGTTCAGATAAACCCAGTATGGACTTACACTTCGGAAAATCTCATTAAATTATCAAGAATGTTCTACAAGATTGTTTTTGCTGTAATGATGCCTCCGTTAACACTTGAACTTTTTAAAATTAAGGATACATACGACGCTTCACAGAATGCTGCTACTATATATTGTTTATCATGCCATGTTGACGATGTAATCAATAACGGGACTGTATATCCATTTACCATTCAACCAATACAGTCAGGTGACATACAACTTGAGAGTTATAAACACAGACTCCTGTTTGACGAATTTACTGGCTTTCTGAAAACAGTAATCGAGAAAGAAACAAATATTGAGAAAAACGTTATAATTGATTACGGCGCGTTTAGAGATTCTGATTTTAATTCTGGAATGTTTTTATTTAATACAAATACTACGAAACCCCTGCACGACATTCTAGCAGAATACAGATCAGGAAACAAAAAGAAAATTTTATTGATTGTATCAGGACTAGTCACTACGGAAATAACTAGTATTTATGGACGATTATTACAACACACAACTAAAATATTCAATCTCCTTAGAAGCCCTTTGTCAGGTGCTATTTATATGGAAAGCAAAGTAGATTACGAAGTGTCACCTAAGTACAGAGAATTAGAACTCTTTCTTTCAATACAGACAGATATCAATAATGGTAATCCTCCAGAGATCTTTACAGACAACAATGGCTTCCAGTACACTTCGCGAATTTTAAATATCAGCCGTCGCATTGAATCTAACATGTACCCAATAACAAGTATGGCATTTATACAAGATAGAAAAACTAGACTTACTTTCATAACAGACCATGCTCAAGGTGTCACTGCTCTACAAGAAGGGCAAATGCTGTTCATGCTCGATAGACGAGTCCTTTATAATGACGGTCGAGGCACTCATGAAGGACTGGCAGATAGTACTACTACGTGTCACAGAAATTATATATTGATGGAAAATCTTATGGATTCAGCTAACGCATTTAATCGACAATCACACAAACAGGAATTGAAACTCCCCAGTCTAACTGCATTACATCTATCCAATGCTCTTGATTACCTTCTGGATATATTCCTTATCGAAAAAAATCACACTGAACTTTGTTACTATACTTTTCTACCCTTAGTCAAAACTTCTTTTCCCTGTGATGTTTCTCTTGTTAATTTCAGAGCAATTCTACACAGAAGTACGTTTCGGCATACTACCCCCAACGCTGCGTTGATGACCCTACATCGGCAAAGCTTTTCCTGTCAAGTAGAGAACTCTGCAGAACTGCACTGCAGTGGTGATAGTCACATTGTTCTTAAAAAGTTACTACGTAATATAAAGAAAATAGATCAGATGAACCTCCCAGGAACCGACGAAGGGGTGCCAGTATTTGTATTAAGCCATACCAACTTTCCGCCGATGGAATTGACTACTTTGAGGATACAATTTTAAATGAAACAATGTCGATTATACTTATGCAAAAAAGTGTGAGAACTGATAGGATCGTACGTAGTACCTGGTACAGTTTGTCATCACGGAAACTAAGCTGTTGCATGTCAGTCGATGGGAAAGTAAACATTCAAAGCTGAGAACTGTGAACAAAGACATAATATTAAGGCAGTTTGTCTTAGCTGATTTATTCTAAAATAAGAATTGCTTCTTGGTCCATATAAATAGAAAATTGGTTAAATTCAGAAGTGTGCGCCGTGTGAAATGTAAAAAATAATTTACGGAACTAGTTTGTAATACTGGATTTTATTTACTAGATCGTTTACAATTGTACATAAACATTTCAATAAAATTTGATTTGTTTTATTATTTACCATACCCAGGTAGTACTTTGTTTACGTAACCTTTAGAAGAAAATAGTACAGTTCAACGGATTCATAACTTGGATCCCGTTGCTATCTGGCAGGACATACTTGACTCCTTGTACAAAGATTGGCTGCAGGAAGTTTTGCAAAATGAGAAGTGGAAGGAGGGTAGGGAGGCCTTTGCTCTTCAGTGAGATGACCATGGTTGATAGTAAATAATTAAAGATTAATATTGATAATTTATCTATATAGGAATACGAACATATAATAAAACTGTAGAAGTGTATATTCTGTACATTGAAAATATTAAAAAAAATAAATGGTAGGGTGTGTTACTAGATAGATAACGAACCCAAAAATGAGATTATAAAGATATTTGTTTGTCTGTATGTTCACGCATCATCCAAAAACTACCGGTCCAATAAGTACGATGAAACTTGGTATAATTATACTTTAATATCCTGGGTACACATTATCACATTGGGTAATTTTTATTCCGAAAAAGTACACACACGAAAAAACAAACTTAATTGTACGGCTCGATACCTAGACACAGTTATTGCATCAAACGTAAATTTAAGTTTGTCGAATGTAACGCTATAGCTTTAGGGTCGATGGTTGAACTTAGCTTGAATTGATATTATGAATGCAAAAATATGTGAGTATGTGTGTATGTTTGTAGCTCAGTCATATTAGTGAAATTTGAATCAGAGTTAGATTATTGTCTGAAGTAATACATAGGCTACTGTTTTACCCCTAAGAACGCGGGCGGAGCCGGTGGTAAATAAATAGTGAAAGATATTAATAAATTAACATGTACACGCTACAAGCTAGCGGCTGTTCTAGGACTCATTAATTGAGTTTGCCAGTCACACCCTGTCTTTTTATCCGTAACTATCAATGTTGGTCAAGATTTTTTTTTTTAGTGGGGAAAATCATTGAGTTGCTTAACCCGCCTGGGTGAGGCGGGAGGGAGTGTCAGACTCTTACTGACTAAAAACCACCCCGTTCCTATTCCTGCCCTCCGAGCCGAAACCCCGACAACCCGTTAAGTCCTCCGCGGCTCCGTATCGGCATCAGTCCTATTAGGCCCTACCTGTGGTAGTCTGAAGGCCCTTTGAGGCGCACGTGGAACGCGACGACGTACGCTCGGGTCTGGTTCTGGTCGGGCGGCGGCATGCCATTGGTCAGGGGTAGGGGCCGTAGTATTTCCATAGTCTATACTTACCAGTCCATTAATAAAACACAATTTGTCCTACATTAACCCGGGATCGTGGTTAATGTAGGATCGAGGTTAAAATTATTCAACAGTGGCTTCGGTTCCTCGTACGCCTGGCATTCTGTGGTACCATGAAAGGAAAAGAATATCATCAAATTAAACCGACTACGTTGCGTCGAAGCAAAACAGAAGGTATTGATTTTATAATGATTCGACTATCCGATAATTTCAGGCTTAGCTACTACTGTACATCGACATTAATAATAATCTTACGGCGAGACAGAAGCCAAACCTCGGCCCATCAAATATATATAAAAAACATTAATAAATCTAAAGAAACATCTTCTTTTTTGAAGTCCGATAAAAATGGCATTCGATTTGATATTTTTTAATATTACCGCGCTGTTGGACCGTGTTCGTTCCAAGCTACGTTCCGATTTGCGCTATCAAATACAGTAAATACATAATTAGTTTTACGAAATCTATTAGTTAGTGTCGATTCAAAATTTAACAAATTAATTAATGATTTAAATAAACTATATATTTTGTCTAAAAAACAGCAAAAATAACTTAAGGGTTTGATCGATAGGGTAGAGTTTAATATTTAAATGTGATTCATAACTAAGTACAATGCTAGAAATAATGTATAACAGTCAATATTAAATGTTCAATAATAAATTTTACTTTTCCTGTCATCGACATAACTACTACATAATTATATCGATGTTTCCTGCCATCACACGTTCCAATTTACGTAATTTCGTAATTTTCATTTAATTTTTTTATTGTCTACTGCTTAGTGTTGCCGATTTCTAACACTGTCCCAATTTTTCACAATTTGAGTAAAATATTTGTACGGTTATTTAAATTCGATGATTGATTATAAAACTTCTAGGAATACAGACACAAAACTTTTTCGTATGATTTTTTACAAAGTAGGCAATATAAAAAATAATGTGTAAAAAGCAACATTAAAAAACTCCAAAATTCTAAATTTATCGAATTTTGGCATCGAAGTACTAAGTACTATGTACAGTACTTATTTATTTTCTAACCACCTGTATATGTACATTATGGACGCAATGAATACTTGATTACTTGATTACAGTTAGTACTAGTTACCATGAATTTTGGTAACATTTTTGGGTATTTAGAAAGTATGATATGGCAACTTTGATAGCCATAGACAAAGAACTTAGTAACGCCATGTCAAAACCTGTACAGATTAAAAATGTAATTTGGTTTTAATGATTAGTCTACTCCTCAAGTCCTTACTACTGGAGGGGCAAGGGGGGCAACGGGGTCAGGGAGCTGTCTTGTTGCTGTCTTTCAATGCGTAACGTCGTTCGTTTTGTAGTAAAAGTGAAGAGACGGGTAACAAACATATTTTACTGCACATACGAGTAAAAATGAGTTTTAGTGAAATATTAATGTGAACTAGAGCGTGAAAAGACTTCCATAAACGATATGCAGTGGAATTTTAAGTCATAACACTGTTAGTAGATGTACTAATGTCTTCGACAATGAGAATAAATAAATAGTTTACGAATTGATTGTCTCCTTGATATTTGTGGATTAGGCTAGGACGGGATTTGCCAGGATGGGCTTGCTTATTTCGAAGATCTGGAGCTTGTTCGGAAACGAGGGTAAGTTTTTTCAATCTCTATAATTCTGACGTTGTTGATAAGATAAAAAAAATAAAGATGTATTAGAAGACTCACAATTTAACGCCAGTGAGAAGTTTAGCTGATAAAGAGGCCTTTGTTCGTTAGTTCGACCCAATTTATTCGTAATGATGAATGAATGTGACATGATTTAAGTTTTATATTTGACAATACATTCCGTTTATTAGACTATTACATGCAAAACTTGAATATTAAATATGTATTTGGGCGCTATGTAGCGTAGCGATGTTAATTAACAAAGATAACAATATTATTTACTTTATTTCTGAACATATTACATTTATGTACAGTTTACCTTGCAAATATTTTGAACCTAAGTATTAAACTATAGGAAATGTTATAAGTAAATAAGATATAATAATAATAATAGTATTATGGATAGCCATAGACTATATGTATCAGGTAAATATAGCAACAACATAATGAAGTATTTAATAACTGAGTAGTATCAACCTGTGACTCCTCTGGTGTTGCGGGTGTCCATGGATGACGCTGATCACTTACCTTCAGGGTTGCTTGTTTGCCTCTTATCTCATAAAAAATATACTTCTAACTAGCTGTTACATACAGTCGTCAAACTCAAAGCATTTATTTCAGTTAAATCATGATTTGGTACTTTTGAAACGTCAAGTGGTTCAAGGAAGTACATGATCCTATAAACTGGTAACCTCTTCACTATCTCCAGACATAAATCACACCCTAAAATCACTTCTAAATACAAACAAACTCATTTTCGCATTCAGGTATAATAGAAAAAGATAAGATAGTAAGCAATAAGCATAATGAATTTCATAAAGGATCAAAGGCATGAATGAATATATAAATACTTAAATTTGGGTACCTGCACCAACTGACTTCCATTAGAAGCAAGATATTATAACAAAAACAATTGAAGATACATGTAAAAAACAACAATGAACTCATTAAAAAACCATCAGTAATATAAGTACGAAACTGAAGAGTTTGTTTAAAATTTCCAGAAAGACTGGTCTAACTTGAACAATTCTTTTGGTGTTGGGTAGTGCTTTTATTGGGGATGATTATAGGCTTTGAAACATCACCATATGACCAATAGTAGCTGAGCTGTGGGTGAAATCATGTGGAAGTCACTAGTTATAAGAATGTAATATGATTATGGTAAAACATTATTAACAAATTGCAATTATGTAAGTAACAAGGATTATTTTGTATCAATATGTTACATCATAACAAGTTTGGTAAAGAATGTACTTTTCTTTATTTCTTTTTTTTTAAAAACTTTGCCCCACACTTTGATTTTCTCCTGTGTCGTGGGTGCATTTACAAACATATAAGTTCACATACACATGACCCCCAGAACCGAAACAACAATCTGTGTGTCACAAAAGAGTGGATCCGTGCGGGAATCGAACCCGCGACACGTTGCGCGGCAGCCGGTTGCCTAGCCACCACACCATACGTGCAGTCTACTAATTAATAGAGATATGGTAAAAGTGTGGACTGCATTTGAATTTAAAGTAATTGATAGTAATGGTCCTTACATAATTTTTTTTTTTTAAATACCTATTTATTCTCAATGACAACCACCTAGTATTAGAACTGGAACTAGAGATAAAGCCTATGGACATAAGACAATATTGAAGTAGGTAGTAGTGTTTAAAGAAAATATGTTTGTACAATCACACTAGGACTTAACTCATATTTAATTTGTCTTCACCTCTCTGCAGAACACAAGCTGGTCCTCGTTGGGTTAGACAATGCTGGTAAGACAACGATACTGTACCAGTTGCTTTTGGGAGAAGCTGTCCACACCAGGCCCACTATTGGCTCCAATGTAGAGGAGGTCGTCTGGAGGAACCTACGCTTCGTTATGTGGGACCTCGGTGGACAACAGAGCTTGAGATCAGCATGGACTACGTATTACACTAATAGCGAGGTAACTGATTGATTCATATTTCTTTTTTACTTGATTAAAAACCATTGAAAAGTATAATTGATTAATTAAAATAAATATCTACCATTAGATTGAATTCATATAAAACTTCTACATTTATGTTGAGGTATAGCTGACGCATTTCAAGTTCCATGTTAAAAGTAAAAAAATATGTGGTTCAGTATCCATTCATCTGTATATTGAAACAGGTTAATTAATTTGACCTATAATTACCTATAGTGCCTAAAGTGCCTAACTACAAATACAAATAGTCTGGCAATGAAACTGTCTGTACAAACAATATCTATTATTCAATGTCTTGGTGCATTCCTAGTTTCCTACAATGCATGAGTAATTTTAATAAAGAGATAAATAATAGTACTTTTATTAATGTCATATTTTTCATAAACTTGTAATGAAATGTCATAGCTATGCAGTAATAACTATATGTATCTCCTCTTATACGCTTGCGTAAATTTCTAACTTTATACCTTAATCTCTGAAAAGAAAGCAGAGGTGTAGGTGCGTGCAAACAATATTAAACAACCATGCCCATAATTTGTCAGTTATGTTAAAGAAGTTCCAACCGACCTGTCCGGAAATTATAGGGGGATGCCGATGTTCAGCAGTGCATATCTTGTGGCTGGTAATAATAAATGGGGATGATACTGCCTCGTTGGCCGAGTGGTCGCAAGTGCGACTACCGGGCAAAGGGTCTCGGGTTCGATTGCCGAGTCGGGCTATTGAGTTTAAAAAAAAATCTCAATAGTAGCACGGAGTCTGGAATTGTGCCCGGTATATGGCAATAGGCTCACCCCCATTACATGGGACTCATAACATAAATAGTGAAAAGTGGGTGTTACTTCTGTGTGCACCTCTGCCTACCCCTTTTACTGAGAATTTCGAAGATCGAAAGCCCTAGATAATAGAAAATTTAATAATACTTTACCGGATTTTGGGAATCAAATCTAAATTCTTTGTCAGACAGTACCGCTTGCGACACTTACTCACGAGTTCTATGACCCTTATAGGAAAAAGGCTGAAATAACCAGTGCGTGCGTCTTACCTACCTACTATAAATAAACAAATACAAATAGTCGCATTTATAGGTAGTATTAGTAAGAATGTCATCCATCCATACTTAAATAAAACTGAGTTCCTACTTTATAATATAATTGTGAACCATAAATAAAACTACCTACTTATAATCTACGTCAAATGTATTGTTTGACGTAAAATCTCAAACGACACGCTTGAGATGGGATGCCGTGTCATTGATGATATTTATGTGACATTCATTAAGGTACCGTTACACAAATGCTTATTTGAAGCACGAAAGCATGCTTCAACTAAACACTTGTTACTTAGTAGCATATGTGTCGTAATGTTATTTATTTATTTTATTTATTTATTGCCTTGTGTATACACTAGCCATAATACAGTTGAATACAAAATTAAAAAATTCTGATATGCATACCAGTGACAGATGTACACAACACTCACTCTAATGTTGCTCAAAATTAGCATGCTCATTTTGGGCATGCTTGCGAATCGACTGTCGTTCGTCTTTTGAACATTTTTGAGCATGTTCTGAGGCCTTACAAGATTGTCTTACGTTTAAAGTAATCGAAACGAGACCTAGTTCGGCGCTGTGATTGGCCGGCTCTAATGAACCAACCAATCAGAACACAGAGGGCTTAGTACGAGTTTCTTTTTCGTTTAAAGTAATCGAAACGAGACGGCGTCCGGCCCTCTGATTGGTTGGTTCATTGCAGCCGGCCAATCACAGCGCCGAACGCGTACTCGTTTCGATTACTTTCAACGTAAAAGAAACTCGTACTAAGGCCTCAGTAGAACGCCTTTTCGCATGCTATTATAGAGCATCCTTAAGTAGCCGCTAGAAGTCGGCCTTGTTCACCCAATTTTGCGTACGATACTTGTATGCTTTCACTTTCAGCGGATAATCGGATTACTTCTTTGTTAAAGCAGTAATTTGTAACTGACAATGACCAATTTTCGGATATTTTTTAATGATTAAGCTAGTTATCTACGAGACACTAAAAGAAAGGTGCACATATAAAATGTAACACTTAGTTTTCGCTAGTTATTTTAGTACCATGCGATAGGGGTGAATCTATTATTATACACAATTTCAGACGGTGTTACTATGCTACGAGTATTTTCGAAAAATCGAAACTTATGCCTCTGGCCATCAACTTACCGATGAGTCAGAGAGCAGGTATAGTTTTCATTATTGTGTAATACCAAAATCTAAGACCTACCTAGTTCTTAATAACACAGTGCCGTTAATAACATTTGTCTATACAATTTTCCTTCTATATATTTTCCTGTATTGTTTTAAAAGGTCGTCTCTTTACTATGACAACTTAAATATGTTGTTATCTTGTCGTACCTACACAAGACCATGTACAAATCATTTCTATTGTAATTGTTACATTTATTTATAAATTGGTAATAGGTATGTGGATGTAGAAACTGTAATGACGACACCAATTAATATGTTTTTATTTGCTATACTTAATATAGTATAACATCACGTCTTTTATCCCCGAAGGGGAAGGCAGAGGTGGACATTACGACACATAATGCATCTGTATAATGTAACACCCACTATTCACTAATTATGTTATGAGTCCAATGTAATAGGGGATGAGTCTATTGCCATACACCCCTTTCCCGGCAGTTGCACTTGCGACTACTCGGCCAATAAAGCAGTCAATCGTCATTCACTATAGTTAAGTTACAAAATAATTGCGAAATTGTCTAAGTGTGGAAAGAGGCCATAATATTGTGACGAACTTGACAAGAAGAAAAAATATTTAAAGTAAAAATAATATGTCTGTAATATAAATAACGTGGTATAAAATATATTAGGAAATGTTCTTATCTATGGGTTTAATGGCTACAAGGCGAATGATAACTCTGAATGCATTGTTTGTAGCTAATATAAACGTGCGTATAGACAGTATTTCTTCCTTAAAACAAAGTAAATGCTCTTGTTATCTCCAAGAAGCTAGCGCATTAACATCTCATACCGACACCGTTATTCATATTTAAACCTTGTTACAAAAAGATAGAGTTTAATTTCATTTGAAGAGTAATTTTACCAGTTATGTTGTACCTAATATAATACACATTTGCTCCAGTAATGTTTTAATAATAGTCTACAGAGGGTTTCGAAATCAATTGAGACTGAAACTTCGTGATTGGCGAACTAGAACGTACTTTGTAACTTGAGGTCAACTATGATACTCGATAAATACTTGTAGGCTAATTGTTGCAATTGCCATTTGATTTGCTATTGCGTTGTAGGTATCTATTGATGATACAAATACGTTTATACATTTCAATACAACTATTGCTAAGCGCAGAACTTTTGAAAGGCTAGAATTTTTAAGTCTTGCATAAATGTATACCTTAAACTTCCAAAGAAGGTGGAACATATAATGAATGTAAAAGAACAACTATATCGGTTCGATCCTGCATATATTAAGTTGCCTTAGTCTACAACCACCATATAAAGGTCATCCATTTAAAGACCTCGATCAATTTGACATCAAGTATGAATGACAATTAATTATCAATGACTGCTATGCGCATAGTGCTCGAGCCGTTTACCTACCGCAGTTGCAGTATCTTACATTTTTAATAGCCAAGTTGCTTCAGTCGCAATGCCTCTTTATTAATGCCCCAATGACTCGACGATCAATGCACGCGACCGTCATTTGTTTTGCCCCAGCCATTGTTCATAGTAATTGCAACGTACACTTCTTGCAATTGTTCGATATTAATTGCCATGTAAATAGTGCAGTTTATGCTAAATATGCTCAGCGATGTTTGGCATTTTGTTATTTTTATGATTATGTTCGAGTAATATCATCTATTGACTGATGATTGGTTTATTTTGTCATCACGATGATTTTTCTATAAAACTAAACATAAAAGCTGTTTACCTATAGGCTAAAATGTTAGCAATACCAGAGTGTACTGTAAGCACGCCTTTACCTACCCTTACAAGGAGTAATGTTATGGACTCGTCCTCCCTCGACTCGTCAAAGCTAACTCTTAATATCCGAAAATGATCCTTACTTACAACACTAATATGCCATATCAATGTTAATTTACCTTAAATATTAACTATATTAATCAGGTAATGTCCTACAATCACGATGATTACAATTTATTTTTCTCTGTTTATTCAGTTCGTCATAATGGTTATTGATTCGACGGATCGTAACCGACTGAGCATCAGCCGTGATGAGCTGCACCAGATGTTGAAACATGAGGAGCTGAGCAGAGCCTGTCTTCTTGTATACGCCAACAAACAGGTCAGTAGCAGCATAATTTAAAAGAAGCAGAACCCCAATCCCTATTTTTCAACGTTTAACTTCTCTGCTGTCATGGGTCTCCATGGGCGGCACTGATTACTTACAATCAGGTAATCCGTCTGCTCGTTTGTTGGCCTAAAAAAGAAGAGATAATCGATTTCGGTTATTCCGGTCTATATCACAGAGATTAACCACCGTAGATTTTATTACACTTGGTGCACAACACCTATTTTATTTAAATAATCCTGCACTGATCCTTTCCTCTCTTAATAGTTAAATGGCAAGCCAATCATCGGGGACAGGTCAGATTTGACACAGGGAGTTTTGTAGATTTTAGGCTACCAATGGTATACCTCTCGTGTAGAGGAGGCTGTCACAGGCTGCTGATATTGAAAGGCAATTAAAAAAAAACGTTTTTCTGCTTCAACCATGCAGTTTCTCAATGGCCCGTTAACCGGAATAAGACCTCGATACAAGTTAAGAGCAAGGTCAGCTTCTTAACTCTCAAGGTTCTCTTTAATTTCGAGATATGATAGCGACTTAAAGAAAGCAAAATGTTGCTATAATAAGAATTTGTTTGCTGGCTACGTTCCTTAAAGATGAGCTGTTTTTTTAATGGGGTGTTTATTGAAGAAATCAATGTTTGAAACCGTAAGAAATGTCATGTTATAATAATATGTTCATCCTCCTATTTGAAAATGTTTGTTTACCATTACTATATAGCGATTTTTTTAAGGGGGGAAATCATCCAATGACTTCTCTCGCCTTGGGTTTGGCGAGAGGAAGTGTTAGACTCTTACTGACTAAAAACCACCCGGTTCCTACTCCTGCTCTTCGAGTCAGAGCCCCAGCAACCCGTTAGGCCTTCCGCGATTGTGTAGCGACTTGCGGTCTAGATTATTAGTCGTGTTACAACATATACCGTATATACACCATAGAAGCCAATTAATTAGACGGTGCATAAAATAATAACATAATCTTATCAAACCAGGTAAAAAGATTAGTAACAATGACTCTAATTCCGACCACGAGCGATATTAGCGAAGTTATTTATATTATAACCTTCAAATCGGTATGCGGAATGTGAAAGTGCAGTTACTGCTTACATACACAATGACAGACATACACTTTATGCTACTGCGTTACCTAATGTAATTAATATCACAATTCTATTGAGATATTGCGTGCTAAAAACTAAGTTAGGTCAAATCAAGGTCAATCACAAATAATACACCCAAGTACTTATTTCAAAATATATATTTGTATTGAATTCATTAAAAATAAGACAAAAACTCTACGGTGGAAAACTGTATTTGTATATGACGCATTTAAATATGCAGCTTGCATTCTGAATAACATCAGATCTGTCTAATAGATATTACGCTTACTTTAATGCTATTACTTTTTATTAAAAATTAATTTTAATACAATATTTTAGGTTGCCTTTATAAAACACCATTAAAGTCACGCTAAAGTGCGTAACTTCTGGTACTCTTGAGCAAAAACCAACCGTAGATGGCGAACCATATGTCATACAAAACCGGCACCTGTGTCAACCGCAATACGTCATCATTATTTATAACCAAAATATACATTGCTCGTTCTATATCCTTGAACGCTTGTTTATTCTCTGAGATAAACAGAAGCAAAAACAACAGCTCCTCAAGTTAACCAAATATATCTTCAATAGAATTCCAACTCTACCATTGTATAATAAAGTCGAAATTATGTTAACGGAAGACAGTTTCGGATACATTAATGTGCTAGGCTCTACGAGGCGGTCAGACTCGTTGAATAAAGTAAGCAAGCGACGATATATGTGAAAGTATGCCTCGGTGACTTTATAAAGTACGTGACTTTTTCAAAGGAAGGAAACTCGATATTTTTAAAGAGTATCGTATGTTGCCTTATGTCGAAGGTTTCTTTTTAGTTGACAGAATAAGGAGATAATGTCGACAGCTTTAAGTCGTTACTTCGATATCTTTTAGGTCAGTATTTTGTATTGATACTGCGCTGTGATTTGCTATCAATACTACTGATACAACATAACGCCATAATTAGGACATGACATATAAAAAAGGACGAGGATTAAAAAACACGCAAGTCCTTTTTGGCGCGTACGAATTCACTTGCAAAACTTGTACCTATGTTTTAAAAATGTGCCAAATAATTGAATAACAAGGTCACTGTACAATAACACTCGCAGGTCTTTAGAGGGCCCTTTAAAGATGAAAAGGCATTGATATAATGTCATTGGTTAAAAGTTATACAGCGGTGACCTAAATAATGTGAGATAAAGGACTGTTGCAAGATTGATGAATACGTTTATATAAGTCAGTGAGAGATAGGTTTCTGAGTATTCATAATTATTACATACATATTACATAAGTATACTGATAAGTTATTCCGAAGGTTCCATCGTCAGATTATTGTCTTTGAATTATGGGGAATTTTTGTTTTCCCAATAATATGGAACTGTATATTATTATCTAGATATCAATTAGATGACCGATCGATGCACAAGCCACAGTTTTTAATCCTGTATCTTACATATAAAAATTGTTACTTCAATTCAATTTGTATTTTAAACGCATTTACGACATAAACAGTATCGTGTAGAAAATCATAACTGTATAAAAACAAATAGGTTTCACCCGACTTCAGATTATCAATACGAGGATCTAACAAAACAGTAAAAGGACAACATTCAGCATACTAACAACACAGTTTGTATTATTTGTCCATTAAGTAAGCAAGTGTATTGTTGTATGATGCAATTTAAAATTACGTAAATCTCATTTGTAAGTCGAGTCAAGACGGACACAAACAGGTGAGATGGTGACGCATGTGACTATGTATTATGGTGACACCATATATCCGTAAAAACTTGACCGGTGACCTGAATACTACATTTTAACGTAATGACTTAAACTGGCATTTGTTATCCGATAAGGTTGCGACATTGGGCTACTTGTGTCGATCTTTGGTGATTCGTCTGCTGAAATTGTGATTTAAATCTTTCTTTCGTTTTAAATTTAACAATTTAAATTGACAACATACATAACATCACGCCGTTTATCCCCGAAGGGGTAGGCAGAGGTGCACATTATGCCACTGTACAATGTAACACCCGCTTTTCACTATTTATGTTGAGTCCCATGTAATAGGGAGTGAGCCTATTGCCGTATATCGGGCACAATTCCAGACTCCGTGCTACTACTGAGCTTTAAAAAAAAACAGTAATATTTTGCACCACCTCGGCCAACGAGGCAGTACTTACAATTTAAATTACAGAAGTAAGTTTATATTCTGGAGAAAGGCTTGCTATCTGAAACTAAGCCACGGTACTAAACGTGAATGGTCTCTTAATGAATATTAATATTTAAATACTAAATATAAAATTATTATTAAAAAAACAAAATACCCGACTGCACACTAAAAAAAGAGTAAAACAAGCCCCACAATAATATTGATCAATCAAATGCTAAAAACTAATTATGTAATACCGTTTAAACAATACCTATATTAAAATACACTACAATATGTGTTCGTAATCGATAGTTAAATAAACAGAAACTTATTTTGAATACAAATTTACTGAATATAATTTATAAATGTTGATGGAATGCATCGCAGGCGGGGACCAACAGAGGCTTATTTATAGTCATTTCGGTTGTGCACCATTTAGCAGAATTTTCGTTGGTGGCGGTCAAGGTGGTCCCCGCCTGCGATGCTTTCCATCAACATTTATAAATTATATTCAGTAAATTTGTATTCAAAATAAGTTTCTGTTTATTTAACTATCGATTACGAACACATATTGTAGTGTATTTTAATATAGGTATTGTTTAAACGGTATTACATAATTAGTTTTTAGCATTTGATTGATCAATATTATTGTGGGGCTTGTTTTACTCTTTTTTTAGTGTGCAGTCGGGTATTTTGTTTTTTTAATAATAATTTTTTTATTTATAACTTTTTAGCTGTTTTTATTTAACGAAAATGTTGTAGATGTAGAAGACTATCGTCAACGACGTGTGCCCTCATGCGTGTGCCCGCAATCGGGCTGTATACTCGAGCATATCCCCCTCCGCACCGCGCCGCGCGCCGCATGCCAGGCCACGCCCTATCTTTTTGCTTGCTAACGCATGAGTTGCTTTGCGTTGACGCAGAATTAACATGTTCCCGTGGGAATTTTGAGAAAAAACGTATCCTATATTAATTACTCCCGTGATTGAAATGAATCTAATGATACCGCATACATATTTTTTTAAAGGGAAATTTAGAAAAAATATTATTATGTCTTTATCCCGTGGGACTTTTAGGATAAAATGTATCCTATGACACTCCCGTAATCAAGACAAATCTAACGATACCTCATACATCAAAATCCATCAAGCCGTTTAGGCTACAGGTGGTCACAAAGGAAAAGACATACATACATACTTACATACACTCGAAAAACATTACCCTCCTTCTTTGGCAGTCGGGTAAAAAGTAAACAGAGCTGACTGACTGACTAAATTTTGTTGTGTTCCCTTATAAGTACAACATTTAATTATGGGTACTTGGTCCCTAATTTTTAATACTAACAGTTTACACAGTTACTTTGTACCGACAGACAGGCCGTGTGATATTTGTTTATGATGTGACAAGGAAGTCGGTCATCACGCTAAATGGTCCCCCACTAGCGAGGTCGTAGCTTCATAGGGGACTTTAGCGACTAGCCTGTTACTACTGATGCAATTTGCAAACCAGAAAAGAGGGAAAACACAAAGTTTTCGTTTCAATTTAATGGTATATGTTTACATACGTGTAAGAACTCTAATATTAGGGTTTAATTATCTCGTATATCACTGATCGAGTAGTAATATGCGGAACTGCACGGCAGACTTGTTCAGATCTCCATCTCGCGCAAAGTACTATTAGGGGTTGCGGCATTTCGGCAGAAATGAGTTACAGCACAGTATAATAGGATCCAGTGATTCCACAGCAAAACTGGAATGATCTGTCGTCGGCGGTATTTCCGAACCGATATGACCTTCAAACTTTCAAGAATAGAGCGTATTCCTTTTTAAAAGGCCGGCAACGCACCTGTGACTCTTGTCCATGGGCGGCGCTGATCGCTTACCATCAGGTGATCCGTCTGCTCGTTTGCCTACCATAAAAAAAGTGTATGGAAATTTCGCCCCATATTACATGGGATGGGCGGTGGTACCACATTTATTATGTGCACATCCATCTGCACATCTGCCTATCCCTTTGGGGCTTAAGAGACGTGAGTTCTAGTATATATGTATGTCATGTACGTGCCTATCCTACTAATTTTGTAAAGGTAAAAGTGTATGTTATGCAATCGAGCAGACGAATCGAGGCGTTTAGAACTTGGCATAGGACCTACACATGGATCATGACTTTTTTCTTTACAGATGCAGTGGTGACGAATAATTATTTATCTATAATATAATAATCGTGTGATTCAGCTTTTGTTCATTATTCTTCTCTTGTCATAGACGCATTGATTTTTGCAGCGGTAAATCAAAACATAACCAACCATATTATAAGTTAAAGCAGTTATTTGATTCCTCGAATGGTCCCAATTGATTCAATTATTCCTCGGTATTCGAAAATTTACATAGATTTAAATGTTAATACGGATATTTTCTCAAATTCCAGGACGTGAAAGGCTCGATGACGGCGGCGGAGATATCTGAACAGTTGGACCTGACATCCATAAAGCAGCACCCCTGGCATATACAGGCGTGTTGTGCACTCACTGGAGAAGGGTACGCCTCAATGCTTACATCAATCTATTTCATACATCGCACTCTAGTTGACCGTTGTCAATTTGAAATGGCGAGTCCACAATACTGCGTTGCGACGTCGCACAGCAATAAAGTGCAATGCAATGCGATTCATTACATACGACGCGCTATAAGATGATGCGTCCATACGTTTTTCTTTATCCACATGTGATATGTGCGCAGTTTGTGAGTTGCTCGCGAACTGCTCGCGAGCTGCTCGCAAACAGCGCGTTCGACAGCGTACCTACTAAAGCACATATCGACGTGTGAATACGCGCGAATGCTCACGCTTTCTTTGAAATTCTGAAATCATGGGTGCATTATACGGCAACAATTACCTATAAAATTACCCAGAGTTTTAGTTGAGTACAACTTATTCATTCTGCGATGCGTTGTGTATTGTCGTAGATGTCGCAATGCAGTATTGTGGCTTGGTTATTACTTCCAATTGAAACATGCTTTAAACATCGCACCCTAGTTGGCCGTGGTCAGCTTGAACCACTCCTAGTCTATTTGCGTAGTGAGTCACTGACACTAAACGATTCAACTGATTGCTAGGTCGCTGTCCCTGGCAATGATATTGAAGCCATTTTCTTGAGTGGATTGTAGTGTAGGGACCGGTAGCAACTGATTGTTCACTTATATCAACAACAACGGCTCGATATAGGGAAAATGGTGGTAAGTCTCGTCACATTGCCTTGATGTGGGTTATTAAAAGTCAATAACTTTATGTTTAGTTTAAAATATAGGTTTATAGTACTATTGGCTTTTACTCGTTTTTTTTTAATTCTCAGTAATCACACAGTACGGAATAAAATACTCAGCGCGGAATCTGAAATGCGCAGAGCGGTGGTAGGGCAATATGCTTACATAGATAGTGAATTCATATTGTATGTAAATATCCGTTAAAATGCAAGAAGTTAATAACAGGAATTGGACTTAACTATTGATAAGTTTAATTTGCTTAATAGCGGGTAGTTAAAAGTATCTATTTATAGTCGATAATAATAAGTAAAGGAAATAATTTGGTAAACCGGTTATAGACACTACACGTGTGCATTCTGCACCTTATAATGTGGCAATAAAGTTGAGGATCTATTAAAAATCGCTTCTAAATTATGTTTACGGTAATCAGATATTTAGCCTTTATCAAGTCGGTCCAAACGTAAATGGAAGTAATTAAAACTCGCGTCCTAGATTTTACCCAATTGAGCAACTATTTCGTGTAGCCACATCTGAATAGCTTTAATTTTATGTTAATTGACAACACGTCTATAAGGAAAACTGTTAGTAAAACTGCAGGTTAGACTGACGTTTTATTTGGACCTAGATACAAAAATTTTGATGTTAAATGTTTGATAGTCTTTAAATGAAGGAATAAAGGTAAAATTAATCAAAATCACCCAACTGCAAGTCGGTCACGAAGCGTTTCGTCTTTATAAAATGGCAAGAAATCTTACCCTTTGTATGGGACTTTATTATACCCTTAAATATTTATTATATGGAGTTTCTTGCTCGTTCATTCATAGCAATCTACACCTTGGAATGAACAGTTTCACTTTTAAATTTATATAATGAATACAAATCGTTATGCCTATTAGTTTTAATATCGAACCAAGTAAGTAAATATTCGTTACCTATTTTCTCATACACTAACCTCTTTTTTATGGTAATGTGAACCGTTTAGTTAGGTCTGGGAAGTAGCTTTAATATTTTATGTCGTTAAATTCGAACTACTTCTAATATTAATTTTATCTAATCAATAACCTTTTTATGATAGCTACAAATCCATGTAAATAAAATCTTTAAAGATAAAAATAGACCTTTATTCGACGACGACGTCTTTCAAATGACAGGAAACATCTGGGGTTCATAACACATAAATTTTTGATCATCATTGTGAGATCATCTTGATCTTTAATTCAAGTTAATACACAAAAAAAATTAGCGCCATTTTATTACGAATACGAAGAAGATATCTGGGTATGGTTTAAATTCTCACTGAGGAAATTTTATACAGATAATAATATGCCGATAGTTATTCTATAGTAGATAGTTTTTCTATAAACTAAATAGTACATTTAATATAATATGTATGAAGTTTATCAGAGTGTTCGATATCAAACTACTGCAAATATGGTAGCAATAAATTAACAAAAACGCTGATCTTTAAGGTAATCGTGTGTGCGTATTTATCCTAATAGAAAAGGCTAGAAATATAGGTACGTAAAAAAGCGGGCCTACTCTTATCTTCACTAAGGCACCGCTAACCAAAGATATCGTGTCGCCTATACTGAGAATCAAAATATTTCTATTTCTCTTATTAAATCTGTAGATTATTGTACTGTTCAACCTAGTTATCACAAATGTTTTATCAACACTATCAATGTAATACATAGCTGTACATATATTGCGTATTTATGTAAATATCACATTCGTCTTATTCGCTTTATCTTCTAAATTGTTTGCCTTTTTAACCGACTTCAAAAAAAGGAGGAGGTTCTCAATTCGACCGTATATATGCTTTTTTTTTTTTTTTTTTATGTTTGTTCGCCGATATCTCCGTTGTTTATAAACCGATTTTGAAAATTCTTTTTTTGTTAGAAAGGAGATAGTTCCAGAATGGTCCCATGATAAGGAAATCAGGATCTGATGATGGAAGACCAGGGAAACCGAGGGAAACTTTTAAAAATTATAGGGGTGACTAGGGCATTTGTTAATTTTTTCATTAGGTATTAAAAACCACTACAATCTGATAAAGGTCTGGAGCCGATCTGATGATGGAGCCGAGAGCCAGTTGAGGAACTCCTCAACGGTTAACAGTAGCTACCTTGTGTTTGGGTTTGATTAATTTGTATTGATGAGGACTTTACATCTGAGTAGGGTGTAATTGTCAATAAGGGTCTGATGATGAAGTAGTACGATAGTTGAGGGAACTCCTCAACGGTTAACAGTAGCTACCTTGTGTTTGGGTTTGATTAATTTGTATTAATGAGGACTTTACACCTGAGTAGGGTGTAATTGACAAAAAGGGTCTGATGATGAAGTAGTACGATAGTTGAGGGAACTCCTCAAAGGTTAACACTAGCTACCTTGTGTTTGGGTTTGATTAATTTGTATTGATGAGGACTTTACACCTTAGTGGGGTGTAATTGTCAATAAGGGTCTGATGATGAAGTAGTACGATAGTTGAGGGAACTCCTCAACGGTTAACAGTAGCTACTTTGTGTTTGGGTTTGATTAATTTGTATTGATGAGTACCTTACACCTGAGTGGGGTGTAATTGTCAATAAGGGTCTGATGATGAAGTAGTACGATAGTTGAGGAAACTCCTCAACGGTTAACAGTAGCTACTTTGTGTTTGGGTTTGATTTGGGATTAATTTGTATTGATGAGGACTTTACACCTAGATGGGTGATGGTCATTAAAGGTCCAATGACGAAGTAGTATGATAGCTAAGGGACTCTTCAATGGTTAAGAGTACCCACCCGGTGTTTGAACTTGCATAATGTGTATTGATGAAAACTTTGCATCCATGTGGGTTTTGTATAATAATATATCAAAGTACTAAACTAAAAAGTAAAAATAAAATTAAAAAACTGCGTTTAAAAAAACCGACTTCAAAAACAAATGACAAACAAAAAGTAAAAACTAAAAAGGAAAAAAAAACTATTAGTGGTCATACGTACTTATAGCTTACACACCCACTGATAGGTTAGAAGTCGGTGCCACAAACCCACAATAAAATATAAAGTAGACAAAAGTCACAGCTGGTATAATCCATAATAAAATTGTAAACAGCTCAATAATGTTAGGTATCTATTAAGGTTTTAATGAATATATAATAATATAAGGTTTAAAACTTGTGGCACCGACTTCTAACCTATCAGTGGGTGTGTAAGCTATAAGTACGTATGACCACTAATAGTTTTTTTTTTCCTTTTTAGTTTTTACTTTTTGTTTGTCATTTGTTTTTGAAGTCGGTTTTTTTAAACGCAGTTTTTTAATTTTATTTATTTTTTTTTTTGCTTCTTCGTTTTATCCTAAATGTTTTTTTTTTGTTTTTGTGCAAAACGTAGCATCGCGACACTGAACGCTTTTCAGCCGCATAAATGAGTTTGTTTAAAGGTATTTTTGACAAAACGTCTTCATTCTGGGTAGTGATAATTCGTTTGCACAATACTGGGCAGTATTAGGTGAATGAATTTTCAAATTGTGAGGGATTGTTCACCTAATATGTTAGTACCTCGTTGTTGACAACTCCATTGAATTTCATAGCATCTTTGTCAAAAATACCTACTACAACACTATATTATGATACTTTTTTTCTCTTCTTGACACAGATATTCAGCAAATCTCAATACTTAATTACACTTTACTCACCTACATTTTGTTTTCATTTCAAATATGAGTGCACTCGTCTTGTATAAACACTCAAATCTAGTGCCTTTGTTCTGTCTTGAACTCTTAAGTAAAACGGTTTATAAATCTTACATTTTTTTATCTTCATCTATTAGATTGTCTAGTTTTATTGATATTTAATTAACAATAAGATCTATCGTTTTACGTACATTAATAGAGATTTGGTGAATATTATATTGTGGTAAGAAGTAAACGCTTTGCCCTAGAACCCTAATGTTTTGTGAATGAAATGAATGTTTGAAGAGAAAACAATTGTAGCTGTGATACGCGAATCACATTTTAAGTAAGTATTATTTTGAATATTTTTATTTTGTCCTTTTTTGTTTGGTTATATACTTATTTATTTTATGATGTAGTGCTTTTATAATTATTTGTTAGTTATTATATGTTGATGTCACCGTTTTTGATGTTGTGTTGATTTGTTCTACAAATTACGGTTAATATTTCCAGGTTAGTCACTAGCTGTGCTGCGTAAATGAAGTCTCAAGACGGAAGATGATACGGATGGGAGGACTTTTCAAGATATCGGTGTGTAGTCGTAGATTTTACTCTTTTTAAGG